TATATATATATATGTGTGTGTGTGTGTGTGTGTGTATATAAACACACACACACAAATAGATGGAAAATATTGTTTTATACAGGGATAGGCTGTGTTCTTTAGCTTTTTATTTATGTGAACACTTCCTCTGGTTTAACCCATTCACTGCAGCTAGTACATGTATGGCCTCTACATTATTTTCTGTTCATTGTGGCTGGTACACATATGTAGTATTCTTGCTTTTAAATTTTCCGTGTAGATGTTGGATCATAAATTTTTCTGGTGATATTATCCATCAATATTCCACTATAAGTTGCCATACAGTAAGTCTGTTATTTATACCTTTTACGTGTCACTTTCCCTCATTATATCAGAAAAGCCTGTATGACAACATCTCATTGCCATGAGAGCAAGTGCTGCCAAAGCTGGTGAATATCCAGATTATTTTATGGATTTACTAGATAGCATTGTCTCCGATTGGTTGACACAGTGACAAGAAAACAATTTAGAAACCATATGTGTACCAGTTGCAGTGAAGGGGTTAATAAACCAGAGTCAGCATGGGAGGCCTTAGGTAGGCACTATGCAAAGTTAAGAACTTGGGGCTGAGCATAGCAAATCAATTTGTGATCATGTTTTCATGACTAACTTTGTCAACCCTTGCCTCCTGTATCAATCTGATAAAGTTTGTTTGTGGTTAAGTGCAAAGCTATACAACAGACTATCTGTGTTGTACCCACCATGGCTATTTAACCACGATTTCTAGCATTATAAGTCCGCAGACTTACCAGTATGCACTGGGGGCAATCTGACAAAGTAAACTTTAAATTTAAAAAAATCAAAATAAATACTTCATATGTAATTCTTTGTTGAATACAAGCATACAATGTATTTTCTACCTTCTTATTTTAATACAGAATTTTTCAAAATTTATCAGATATTCAGGTGTATGTGCACTTTTCATATAAAAAATGATCAAGAAAGTCATTATGCTGTTTTTGCTCTAGTAATCTGTTGTTCTGTGTTATTCCCTGGAGATATCACCTGATTTGACCAAGTAGATGTAAAGCTGCCCCTTGCTTACAAAAGTGTACATTATTTTCAAATAGGAATAACCAGTCATGTGGATAGTGCTAGTAACTTTGAGTAAGTCTTGACACTACAGATTTAACTAAGTAACATGGGGTTTAGTTAATTTAAAACAAGGTTTTGACCAAGACAGTTTGTGGAGAAAGTAGTCTAGATCCATTTGAAGTGAACAAGCAAGTACACAAGCTGTGTTTGTGTTTGAATAAAGATTGTGCAACATATTTTTTACAGTTGTGGCTAGTCTATTTATTTATCTGAAACTAAGTTACTTAGATAAATTGTAATTATTCTACAACAACTAACTTGGATAAATCTTCTCTTATTCTGTGCACCTATCTTGTCACTCTAAGAGTACAAGTTCAACCTGAAAATACCACAACTTAAAATTTTAATTCAATACGTCTTCAAAGAGCATAACACAAGATCCTGGTGAAAATTATGATAAATCAAAAACAACAAACACTGATAACATGGTTTCCAAGTGGTCTTCCCAAGGCAGAATATTGAAGTTCTAATAGCATTATTTCATGCATAATGGCATTTTGAGAAAACGTTACAGACTAGATAAATGCTTTAAACATGACTACTTTAGGAACAGAAAGCAGATTTAGTTTAAATCAGTGAACATAAAAATCCACAAAAAATTCAAAAAACATCACATTTGACAATTGATCATACACCATTTGTCAATGGACAAACATTGCTTCTGTCATTTCAGTTGGCCAGTTTAGTATTATACTTAACTCTTTATAGAACAGTAATAAATAGTACAGAATAAAAAAGGCTAAGAGACAAACGTGAAAAAATAAAACTGAAATTGAAAAATTCCTTGTTCAATCATGATGCTCCTACATGAGTAGAGCCCAGTGTAGCTGCACCACTCACACCTGCCCACGATCACCACTGACAGGGCCAGATTTCCAGCAACTCAGGTAAGTGTGGTAACTCTATTAAGGGAGGCAGCTAAAGTAAGGGTATTAACTCAAATATAAATAGCAACTCCAATAGGGGTGACAACTCAAGGGCAGCAACTTCAGTAGGAGAGGTGCACTGAATCGCAGAGGCAGCTAAAGTAAGGGTGGCAACTCCAACAAAGCAGCCAGTTCAAGTAATGGTGGCAAAGACGGTGAATCGGCCTATATTTGATTTGATAATTGTGACCACTGATTTTATATTATATTACTTATTCTTTCTACTACCTTACAAATTCTAGTGGTATCGGTTAGAAAAGCATCCATATGATTCTGTAGGATTTTTTTTTTTAAATATGAAGTATTAAAGATTTCATTGCAAAGTTTTATTTTGCTTATTAAAATAAAAATGTATATGTTAAGGTATTTTTTTATTTTATTTTATTAACACTTTTATTTGAATTTATTAAAAACATAACCCATTGGTAGTATCCTGTTTATATTAATTAAATACTTTTATGCTAAAATATGTGATTTTTTCATTACTAATTTTATTTTTGTAAGTTTATTCTTTATATACAGTTAAAACACTGGATATATTACACGTGGACCAAATATCTTTCATTATTCAGTTTATCAATAAAAACGGTGTCTCTGTGGAATGATTCCTAAAATTCATTTCAAACCCTAGACATAATGCTGAGCATTTATTCAAAGCAGTCACCAGTACACTGGAATTTTACCAAACTGACTTACTGAATTGCAGAGGACAGTTTTACAACAATGATAGTAACATGTCTGGTCCTTATTCTAGCCTTCAAGCTCAGATCAAGGAAAGAAACCCCTCATCTGTGTATATCCCTTGCTCAGCATGTTCATTAAATCTTGTGGGAACATGTGCTGCTGAATGCTGCTTGGAAGTGATTTCTTTCTTTGGGATAAAACAGTTATACAACTTATTCTTTGGGTCCACAAATAGGTATAGATGGGAAGTGCTAACCTCTCACAATCTAAATGTAATGTCATCAAAACTTTGTCCATCACAAGATAGTCAGTGTGTGGTGATCCATGCTGCAGTCTCAGAAAATCATGGAAAAAGAAAATTCAAGCCATGGATATAATCAAGGACATTTTCCTAAAGCCAGTAACTTGAAACAAGGCTGTAGCACTAGGGAAAAACTTATAGCGGCTGGACACCACCAGCAAATGCCTACAGAGTATCAATATAGAAATAAAGACTGTTGTTAGATTCTATAGTGATCTTTTCAAGCTCATACAATAATTTAGGAATTATTTTGATAACTTTGAAAAAGAAGCCAAAGAGCTATTTGGGTTAGAGAATTATGATAAAGCTACACCTAGATGTAGGAGGAGGAAGCTGTTGTTTGATGTCAGCCAACAAGGACAAACAGAGCTGAATGCCAGAGACCAGTTTAGAATTAACACATTATTCTCAGTCCCGGATAAGTTATCCTGCGAGCTCAAACAGAGAGCAGAAGCTTACCAACTGGTGCATAAAAAGTTCAGTTTCTTTGAAATTATCAAGTCAGTAAAGCTGGTAAACTCTACAGAATCAGCAACCAAGATTCAATCTGAACCAGTTTGTAGTAAGTAAGGTACAGTGTAGGTATGGGTAGGGTGGCCAGTCTTAAATTGGTCTCGGGGTGGCAGAGAAGATAAATCTGGCCCCGACTATTGAAAGTAGGGTAAAACTCTCTTGGGTACTTTTCTCCTATGTATTAAATAGATAAAGGCTACAAATTGTCTTTTGCATGAGATTTATAATCTAAACAAATTCCAAATGTTTTTTGTTGTATCCCACAAATTAAAAATCAGCTTTATATATATTAAACATACAACACACATACTAACTTACCAAATCCTAATATTCCTGTTACACATAAAAAGCTTAACCACACCATCACCCCTGCCATAATACGCATCAGTATAATCCAAATGAAAGACAGCACCATGGAGGCAATTAGAAACCTGTCAAAACAGAATGTTACTCAAAAGAGTAATTTAAGAACATTACAAGGGCCTTCTCAAGGCATTAGAAATGGATAATTTACACACATTTATCTATTATTTTTTATAATCTTTGTAATTTAAAAATAAAGCTATAGGTTACACCATTTCATTAATTAAAATAATTCAGATATAATGTTACTTTATCCACATTTATAATTGCTAAATGAGCAAGAAAACAACCCCTTAGAGAAAAAGCTATTGGATCTCATTTTTCCAATCAGGTGAGATTTGACCTAAAAACGTATCTGGGTAATACTCAAACTTTCATTTTTATCAATTTAGTGAATGATTATTTTTACTATTAGCACACGTCATTGCTATGGCATTTAAACATAATGTTGCTTTTTTTTTTAACTGCTTAGTTTACATAAATTTCACTACTCAAGATGAGAAACTGGATTTACAAAGAAAAACATCCTCCTTTTTTATCTTAAGATCAACCAAGATCGTTTGTATACGTTGATTCTATATCACAGTTTCAACTATAAACATGAACCTGTAATAGGAAAGTGAACTTGATTTGTGTTCTTTAGATACATACATCTTTGAAAGGAAGATCCTAAAGTTTTATGTAATCTTCCAGATAACAGTTGAATAGTTTTAGCTTGAAAAAAGCATGGATTTTATTAAATTATGTAAAAAAATATGAGTATTTTTTACATTCCTCTAGTTTAAAAAAAAAAACATTAGAAGAAATGATTCTAATGCAAGACATTCTAAATTAGGTTTCTGGTACAGTCATAAAACCAGCCTACATTTATAAATTACATGTAAGATGAAAACAGTCAGGTTGGGAGTTACCTAACTGGAATCTGAGTCCTAGCAGCTCAGTTTGTAAAGCTAAGAATATCATTTTCAAGGATAAGTCAGGACATATTTTGTTAATAAAATATCTTTTAAAATGTTAAACTTAATTTTCAGTAATACATATTACATAATTCACAGTTCTTTAACAAAAACTCACTTTCAGGCCATCTCAAAACTGATATTAAGAGATAAGGCCCAATTAAAAATGAGTGATTAAAATGTATCTAGGTTCTTAACAAAGTATTTGGAAAACTAACCAATACTTCTTTGTTCTTGCAGCTGATATAATAGAAATTCAAGGTGCTTTTAAATAAGATCTTCATAAAAGTAATAACTAAATTTGAAACAAAAACAATTTAACCAATTACAAAAATATAACAGTTTAAAACTAAAAATTAACTTCTTACAAAATCATGATCCACCAGACATTACTAATATCTTCAAAAATTTGCTCTCCCACCTCTCTAGCATTCAGAATAAAAGCCAGTCCCCTAAAAAAGTGTACAAAAGATCAACATATTTCACAGGCAAAAAAAAAGACTAGCAAAAATTAGAGTGAGTTTACCTCAGACTGCCTATTATGTGGATTTATGCACATAATTACAGGTTTGCAGCAAATCTCTAAGCCTAAGGTAAAGAGACTCTATATATACAATTATATATCACAAAATTATATTATTCTATCCACTATCAGAAACATGTGAAATTTAGAAATTATCTATCATTTAATTTGCATAATTATGCTTTTTAACTTGTAATTAAAAAGGGTAAAAAGAAACTGCTTCCCAGACTGGATTATTACTTTCCTCCTTTAATATTATTCCTAATTAAGCTGTAATTTTACAAGAATTACATACATTTTGGATTTAATGCCTAAATGTACATAACAAAAAAGAAAGTGTGAAGCAATATATCTTTTCAATTAATAACTAAGAGATACTTTCTTTTGAAAAGATAAATTTAATTCTTTCACCTCAATAGTCGTAGCTTTAAAAAAATTTGTGTGTCTAAAACTTGTACACTGACAAGTTTGATAACTATGATAAATACATTATACTTAAACACACAAGCAAAAAATATTAAAATAGTAAGCTTTATAATTAGAAATTGCAAAGATAAAGATGTCAGTAAAATGTGAACACAATTACGTTCCAATATTTAAATCTAATTTCTTCAACAACTTTTTATTGTTCTCTATTTTTAACTTTTTGAATACACACAGGCTTTTCTATGCTATATTTACCACTAATAAAATATTAACTCATATGACAGTTCATGGACAATAGTAATTTTACCAACAAAACTGTCATAAAACTCTAGCTTTCAATTTATTCAATAAACAGTCGTTAACGTAATGTACCTTTTGGATAGATGTATAAACCTTTTTTTTTATTAACAAAAATTGAAATATAATTATGCATAACTGTACTTTCAGTAGACTTTTATGAAATTGTGACTAATAGTACAAAGTTAATTCTTTTGTTCAGTATCCTGTATAATATATATATTATAAACATATTTACACATGTTCAATCAGTACTCAAGAATGATGTACAATTTTCATACATACATTTACTCTCCTTGCATTATTCATGTACTACTTACTTTCCAGCATCATCAATAATAGAGGCATTTATTTTATTTCCATTTTCATCTTCAAGTGTTTTATTAGACTTTTCATCAAACAGAAATTCTCCCAGTTTGCCTATGACTTCTGGAACGCACCTTCCTGCAACTTTTGTTAAAAAAGATATAAGGGAAAATATGAGCTGTGATTTTTAAAACACAGTATAACCTGAATAACCCACAGTATAAATTATATATGTTAAAATAAACTAAACAGTATTATAGTGTGACCTGGTATTTATCAATACTGCCACTGTGGTACTTCTTCACCAAGAAGGTAGATGAAGCTGGAACAGTAAACAAAATCAAAAGGTGCTACAGAAGGTTATGCTTCTGAACTAACAGAAAACATTTTTCAAAGTTACCTTACTCTTACTATGCACCAGTACCACATATGCTAAACAAAAGTAACTTTTCTGCAATTATTGTTGATGCCAGTTTATAATATTACATTTAAATTTCTTATCAAGGAATTTCAGTAATATACTTTAAATATTTAACACAATTTTACTGGGTAGCTAGCATTAACATATAGGATGGTATGCTTTTTGTAACCTCACTTCTTGACTAATATGAAAATTTAAACTTTAATCTAAAAATGTACTTTTAAACTTACATTACAAAAGTCTCTGCACTAGTGTTCATGAAAGCTGTTCACACTTTCACACAAAGACAACAATAAATTCACTTTAATTTGTTTCTAAGTTACAATAAGTAATTTTAATTACAGTTTATATTATATTGACTTTATATATATATATAAGCTATCTTCTATATAGTATGTTTTGTACCAAACGTAATCAACCTTCACTATAATTTGTTTCTAAATTACAGTGCTTCATTACAGTTTGTTTCTTACCAAACTTAGGCTGCCTTTCTTTAGTGTTAGTTACAGTAAGCAATCATCACAACAATTTGGTATTTTAGTAACAGTTAGTAACTTGCTCTATGATTTCGTTCTTATTTAGAGCAAGCTAACTTCTGTACAGTCTGTTTCTTAGTTACCACGAGCAATCTTTGCTATAATTTGTTCCCAGTTTTTAGCTATTAACTCCTCCTTTCACCATAATGAAGGATAGGATGGTTAACATTTTCCTAAACTGAAAATGTATTTCCAATAATACTTACCTCTGCTGACACTATAGCTATTTCTCTATCTCCAGAGTTTCAATTCTTTGCCCTCTGTCCGTAAACAATATATGAAACCAACATTGATCAAAGAGAAGTTCCATGCACCACCCCCCTCCCCAACCAGATAGCTTTATGTGAATTACGAATATGCTCCCATAGAGGCTAGTGCCACTCCTACTGACATCTGGGAAAAAACATCAAGGGACCTGAGTAGCAGGGCCCCCACTTTGCCCTCTTCTCCAAGAGTGGAGAAACACACTCTAACACTCTGGAAGAAAATCCTCTGTCTGCCACTCCCGTGACTCGAAACTGGGGTGGTAAGGACTTCCAAGCTCCACCAGTAGAGTCTGGGGGGTAATATGCATTGGGGAGCCCTGAGGAACAGTGCTCTGGAAACTGTGCAACAGGTGAACCAACTTCCCTATATTTATATGGGCAAACCAACCCAGTTTTATTGAACCTGGAGATGCAGGGATGGGCTGGATCCCCTTTAGCTTTACTCAAGGTAGTCTGTGATAAAAAACTAACACCATCCGGTAAGCACCTAGATGGTCTCATGGAACACCCCATTTCGACAAAGACTGTTACAACCTGTAGTAATTATAGTGAAAATGGTTGATAGTGCAGAACTGAAAAAGAAAGCATACCTGTCTGTGCAACACTCACCACAGAGTGAGATCCAGTAAAAAAATAAAAGGGACTCTAAAAATAAAAAGGATATGATTGAGGAAATACTCACCCCTGGTTAAAATCTAACAGATGTGGTCAAAATAGCTACCGAGGATAGTCAAAAACCCTCAGAAGAGAAAACTGCCAGATCATGTAAGTAATTAGATAGGAAAGTATTAGGAGTAGTCCACATACCAACCCACACAATGTCTTCCAGATAGCAATTCAACCGGGCAGCTAATGACATAGAGATATGATGAATCTGGTGAGAAGTGACATGCAAAAGATTCCTCTCCTATAATGATAATCCATTACAGGCAATGTGAATCAATTTACAAAGCCACTGCATCAGAGTAATGGGAGATAATTCATGGGAAGTAGACAGATTCCAATGAATGAACAATCAATTACTACTACCTCGAAAATAATTAGTACAAGCCACATAACACTTGAGGGTCCTAACAGGACATAACAAACGATCAGGATCGGAGTGGTGAGAAATGGCTGGCAAATGAATTGGTAAGAAGGATCTTTCCCCTTCCCTAGCTGCCAGTCTTTAGAAGAAAAGACCTGTCGGAGTAAAGCAGGACAAATGTGGAATGATAAAGAGTCTCATGCACATGGATTGCAAACAACTCTGACTGACGACATCCACAAGCCAACAACAAAAATACAATTTAAGAGAACTGTGAAACAAAGAACATGAAGCTAAGGGCTCAAAGGGAGGATGAAACAATGTGTGTAAAACAACTGTAAAATCACAGTTCGGTAATTGAAAAGGTCGTTTGAGTTGAAGAATGTGAAAAGATTTGAGTAGACCTGATAGTACTGAGTATTCAAAAATGTTATGATATTTAGAATACCAAAAAATAATGGGTAAGGATGCGTTATACAAAGCTACTGTAGATGAAGCAAGACTCTCTCAAATACCCAAGTCAGAAAATGGAATATGGTAGATACTTTAGGGCAAAGAGGGTTTAAATTCGTTTTGATACACCAGTAATGATAAGTATTCCATTTCTGTTGATAAATGGCAGTGGTTGGCCCATGGAGAGATTTCGTTAAGTACAGAGAAACCTTAGAAGTTAAACCCTTATGTTGGACTGCATAACTTCCAAACATGAAGACTGAGTTTCTGAACATCTGGGTGGAGAATGTCTGATCGAGGTTGTCTCAAAAGAGACTGCCAGTGTAGAAGAGGTAAAGGTGGACATTCCTGCAGATGTCAAAGAAGCGGAAACCACATTTGAGCTGGCTGATATGGTGCAACTAAGAGAACTCTATAGGGAGTGGAACAAACCATAGTCAGAACCTGGGGCCATAGCCAAATTGGGTAAAAGGCATACAGATGTAAACCTGTCCAGTCCTGACTGAATGGATCTACTGTCAATGCCTGAAGATGAGGTATTGGAGACCTAAACAACTGTAGTTCAGAATTCCAATGAGTTTCAAAGGCATCGATCATTGGAGACCCGAAATGAGAGCAAATCCACTGAAAAACCTCGGAATGTAGCATCCTTACTGTCAGAAGAATCCGGTTGGGTCGAGGCATGTGATCTGCAATTAAATTCATCACTCCTGGGAAAAGACTAATATGATGAGCATGAGCTCAGTAGAGAAGATTCAAGGTAAGAAAACAAAGGTCTCGAGAATGTGTACCTCCTTGATGAGAAACCACCATGGAATTGTCGGAATGTATCATGATAAAGTTTCCACTCAAAGAGACAGACCTTGAACTACAGCCTGGTGTACTGCAAGGAGTTTGAAAACATTGATATGAAGGGTAGACTCGTCTTCTGTCCAAATACCCTGGAACTCCTGACCTTGAAGATAAGCTCCACATCCCTGAAGAGATGCATCTGTGAACAGATGGATCTTGGGATGAGGTGGTTGAATGGGTACTTCAATAGTAATGTTGTTCCGATCCAACCACCATTCGCAATTGACAATGTTGCTCCTAAGTAATGAGACAGGATGATCCAAAGAGTCAGAATGCATGATCCATTGGTCGCACAGTGACCACTGAAGAGACTTCATATGTGCTCGTCCCAAAGGAATGAGAGGTTTGAGGGAATACGGAATACTCTATTATGGGAACCAATAGACCTGGGAACTGAAGGAGGAGGAGGTTGGGAAACACTGTGAGCCAAAACTCCTAAATTAGCAACAGCAAGGCAAGAAGCTAATGATGATAAAGACGAATGTAAATGAGCTGAATCAATTAATGATTCCAACATCTCTGGCAAATCACATGGGATGGAGAAAAGGAGCTTCCTGTAACTTCCTGAGGGCAGAAGATGGTAAACGAACATTTTCTAGCAAGGTGTTTCTACCCAGTAAATCCCAACAACAAACCAGAGAAAAAACTGAAGAAGACAATCTGACTGAAGTAGATGTCAGCATAGTACTCAACTTGTCCTCAAATTGCTGAGGGGAGCATTGATAGACTTCCATCAAAAGTAGGTTCAAGGCTAAGTACCTCAGGACAGTAGTGAGAGTAAGACAAATCTGAGAAAACTGTGATCAGTTCAAAGTGATCACAGGTTCCAATCTAGAACCCCACAGGTCCAAAAGGGGTTCCATGCATTGAGAATCTTCGTAGTAGAAACATTAATTCAGGAATTCATACCCATCGTTTTTTAATTAATTTATAAATATAAGCAAAAATATAACCTTAGTCATGCCAACTACATCCAAAGTCGCAAAGTAAATTATGTGAATAATCACAACACTTCTGTTTATAGAACACATGCCGTACGCTTTGTCGAGAAAAAATGATTACATTATTTGAATGAAGCGCTTATATATACAGTACCTAGATAGAGGAGAAATTTGCAAATTTGAATTTGTCAAGGGCAATCGACTAGAGCAAGCATTTCCAATGCTTATATGGGCAAAGAGTGGAAACCCTGGAGATCGAGAAATAGCTATAGTGTCAGCGCAGGTATGTTTTGGAATAAACTGTTCTTATTCTTGGTCAGTAGTGGAAATTATTAGTTTGTCAGGTCTAGAACACTTATTTTGATATTAACCTAGAATATCATGAACTACATACTTTGGTGCTATTAATTTCCCTTTCATATCTTAGCTTGTCTTTGTAAGATTTTCTTAAAGTAATTATGAACAACTAAACTGGAATTCAAATAGTACTTAATTTGGAATCACTTTAAGTGACAAGACATCAATGAACATCTAGTTCATCAAACTATACTATACTATAAAACTATTTATAGAATAATCATTTTAACAGAGCTCTAGTATTAAAAGGACAAGCACACAGTGATTTTTAACTATGCATCTACAAAATTTTAAATGAGTTGTAAAAAAGTAATGCACAGGTAATATTTCTAAAAACATCTTCACACAAACATATTGACTGCAAACAAGTAATAAAAACAGTGTAATAAACATTTTTAAAATCATGCTCTAATTTAAAATTACATTTAAATAGTTAAAAAAATTGGTTAAAAATGTAAAAGAATATTTACTAGCATACTTCGCAGGACTAGATATTTGATTTATCTTATATACCAATAGCTGTTATAAGTCACAACAGTTTTCAACCATCCATTGCATATTAGTATAAATTTATGGAACAAAAGTTTCATGATTCAAATCATTCTATTAAATAATCTGAAGTTATAATGTTTAATTCTAATATTTACATCCTTTTTTTTTAACTTTTCCTTAAATTTAGAAGATTCTATGTTATAAATCTAAAAATCCTTCACAACCAATAAAGTGTTTATTTTTAACCTCTTCATAAAATTATGAAAATAAAAAAGTTAAAGTTCATAATGGAGTACTCCTGATTCATTTTTCTTGAGTGAGAAGACATTTTGATCTCTATGTTTAGGCTTAACATTATGTCCAAAATTGTTCCACTCATGAAATAAAGCAGGAACAAGTCCATTATGAGTTTCAACATGACATAAAATGTTAAAAAACAAAAATATGCAAAAAAGTGATTAAAACATAGACTGTATCCCACTTCTTAATTAAAATCATTCAAGAAAATTCCTAAACTATAAAACAGTATATCAATATTCTGTAGCAAGGCAAAATCCCTGAAGTATTATTAACTATGGTATTTTCATTTCAAAACTTACTGTGAATTAATAATTGCATAAAATAACTTACATGGAATACTCTTCAAATATAATGAAGCACAATTTTTACTTTCAATTAACTCCTTTAAGCTCTGTAAATAAAGAAAGAGACCTATTATTCCTCACTTCAATGTACAAGTATGGCTGCTTATAATGGATTTAATACAAAGACCATAGAAATACCTACGAAAGTGAATGACGTGCTTGAGAAATAATTATTTTAAGTTTCATAGAGTAATGACTGGTGAAAACAGGTTTATAAGTATATCTTAATTAGAAAATAAACACCATCAACTATAAGTGGGTAACAACATAAGCACCATAAAATGGTGATTGAGAAAAAATGCAAGCACACACATGCAAGAATTAAATTATTAAAGTTTGCCAATTGGAAGAAAACTACAAAAAGTATATTACAGATAGACAGCATCATTCTTTAGTTTCAATTTACATTTACAATGCTCAAATAATTGATTTAAAAAGGTAAAAATATATCTACTAGAATACTTATTATTATTTCCAGAGGAAGTAGAATATCTCATTGGACTAGATATTTGTAATTAAAGGACAATATTATGTGTAACAATTAAAAAGCTGGTGAAAAAACAAAAGTAAATGGAACAAACTTTTAGCTATCCTGATAGCTTTTTTCCCTTTACTGTTTTTTTTTCTAGCTTTTGACTAGATATTTGGTTTATCTTACATACAAATAGCTGTTCTAATGTAATGCTATTAGCCGTACATTGCCATTTAGTAAAAAACTTTCATGATTCAAATCATCCTCTAAAACATGTTTGACTATATATTTAAATTCTTTTATAAAAAAAGCATGTAATCTAAGGACTATAGGATACTGCACTGGGACCTTGGTCTGACTATAAAAGTGGAATATGCACACAAGTATTTCTCTTTTTCTTGCCCTTTTGTTTTATTGCTTGATTATTATCTTTAACATTAGCAGCAAGCCTACAGATATTCAGCATAATTAGAAGCTGTCCATTCCAAGAAAATAATTGCTATACACAGCTTGTGTGAATTGAGTATTTTTGTTTCACTGGTGTTATTTGCTCTACTTTACTGTTTTTGTTAGAAACAATTGTCTCTGCAACATGGTGAAAGTGATGTCCATGTTCTCAATCTGTTCTTGGAATCATAAATTTGATGGGCACCTTGCTTGGCAATCACAGGCTACCTTAACATAAACTCCAATGATTACTCCAACACTTTGCAGTAAAAAAGACGATGGCTTTGAGTAGCCTGAACATACCAAGATTTATGGAGATGATCTAAATGATACTCCAGGTGCTCGTTAACAAAACTAGACATTGTAAGATGCTGGAAGGACCCGTCAATGAACAAAAATGGTTTGTTGCATGTGCTGGACAATGTCCAATACATTTCATCACAATACCATCAGATGGAACATGTGGCAACTTGATGCAGTCCAGCAGGTTTTGGCTGGTAAGGTATAACAGCAAAACTCAAAAGCATGTCTGGCAGTTGAAGTTCCATGGAAAATAACGAGGAAGTGATTCACTACATGTCAAGTCATTACTATTGCACATGTTCCCACACAAGTCATTGCTATTGCACATGTTCCCACACAAGTCATTACTATTGCACATGTTCCCACACAAGTCATTACTATTGCACATGTTCCCACACAAGTCATTACTATTGCACATGTTCCCACACAAGTCATTACTATTGCACATGTTCCCACACAAGTCATTCCTCAGTGGACTTCTGGAAGGAACAAAAGCTTCCTTGAAGCATCTTGATCACATATTTCTAGTAACAGGAGCCTACTATTAGTGGTCATAAAACACATAATCTCATTGTTCAACAAGATGGCAAAGGAAGACCTGGACAACTTCATCCAGCATTTTAAGCAAGTAATTACTTGAAATGGGTTGAATAAGGGACAGGTGATGCAACACCTAAAACTGAATTAAGATGGTCTAGTGCTCAATGCTCTAGAGTATTTGGATGAAGCCCTACAAAAACCTGGATATCTCTCCAGAAAATTTAAGGATAGTTCATGTCTCCAGAAAATTGCTATGGAATAATCATTCACAATCTCATTGGGGGGGAGCACCAACTGTACCCATGCAACACCACATGGGACTAAGGGGCATCTCAGTTTCCATTATAATGTGGTTTCATATGGTCATAATTAAAATGCATACTGAAGTAAAGGAAGAAATCAGTAGCAGTATATAGCAGCTGAAGCTGTGAACTAGCTCTGACACAGCCAGCAGATGCCCTCACTATGTAGAAGAAGCTTTAACCTGTAGTTCCACTTGTTCCACTGTAGCAGATGATTCAAGGCATCATGGCACAGTGACCATAGTTCCCAATACATCAGCTGGATTTCTCTGACCCTTCTGCCATGGCTACATCACCAATGCTTTTACTTTACAAATGTTTGTGTATTAAACATTTTTGTTATCCTTTATTGTCCACGTTTGAAATTATTCACTATATAACATTTCCTTAACATGCAGGTGTTGTTAACACAACTTTTTTTATATATTTATTTTCTCTAGCACAATTGTTTGTGTTATAGATAATACTTTTGCAAAAACGATACAATATATTATATGACAAAATATATTTTTACAGAGATATAAAAATCATATAAAATATATTTTTATTTCAATCTCCTCTGAATCTTACCTGTGTACTTTTCAAACTATCATTCCTACAAATTAGTTTCTCCTTAAGCAATTCTTCATCTTCATTCTGGTATAACATTAGGAAAGTGTATGTTGAAAAAGTTGTATTGGGACAATTCTTGACACAAACCTACCAAAAGAATATGACAGATACTTATAAGGTATTAAAGTAACTGAAAGACCTTGAGGAAATCATGGTCAAAATAAAATGATTAATAATACATATAAAATAAAATTTTTAAAATAATACTTATATGGAGGTTACTCTTCTGCAAGCTGAAAGCTTATATATACATATACTGTTTTTATACTCACCTGTGGAGTTGGGCAACCTTCCAGGATTGAAGAAAATCCTTTAATACATTTTGTCAAATCAAAGAAAAATAAGTAGGGCTTGTCGCTGAAATCAAACCAAACACAGAAAAAAAAAAACAATATTAAATTTTGAATATTAGCTGCCATTTCAGAGATTTTTCAAAATAAAAAAGTCTTTATTAAGTACATTCAATAAAATTAAATTATGAAATTCACCTGCTGTTTCTGAGTTTTCAAAACTAAAAAAAACAAAACCTAATTAGGTCTGTTTGGTAGTGTCTTTTCCAATTAAAGTAGAATATCCTGAAGTTAGTTGTTTATTGGAAAAGCAAAATATATTATGTTGATGAAGACTTAAAAAGATCCTGAAAATAATTATAAAAATTCATTGAATCTAGTATTGTGGGGCTTTCAGTAAAAAAGTACCTTTTTCTCAAAGATAAAGGCATATGCAGGTCACTTGAATTTGAAATATTATTATAGCATTGAAGGGAATAGAGATATTTCATTATAAATGAAGAAAAGAAAAAAACATATGTTGTTATACAAAACTATAATCAGGCTAACATACAGCTCACCTCCTGGACAATAAATTTTCTTTCTTGTATGTTAGATTTTAGTATGTTTCCAGGTCTTATACAGTACGTAGCAGTGCTTCCAGTTAGTAAATTCTGCAAGATTTTCTATCAATGACTGAAAAGTTATTTGTTGAGAAGAAAAAAAAAAGAGGCTAATTATTTCCCAATGTTCATAAAGCACTTAAAGTCCCAATTTTTATAGAATCTTTTCCTCAAAGGTGCACTTGCAGAACTTTGTATCTAACAAAGGTCAACAAGATGACCACTAATGTCATATAATGAGTTAGCAGAAGCAAGGTAAAATTTGACCCAGGAATATTTATTTTGGAAGCATGTTGTATGCTGCTAATACCTGTTGTATCATCGTGATCCTAAAAGTTTCTACAAATTAGCTTAATAACTGATACAGCATGGTCATATAATTTGAATTGTAGCATGGTTAATGAAAAACCACAGTTAACAGAACAATCTTTCAGAAGTCTTGATATTAGATAAATTAGTTTTGACACATTCATGCATCCTCTTCAGTATCACATTAACTACTGGCAGGAAAACTTGTCAACAATGCCCATGTGATCCCAGAACTTTGGATTTTTTAAAGACAAGGAGGTCAGGAAGCTGTTCAACTTCGTGACTTTCGGAGGTGTTGACATTAAGCAGGCTTTTTATTTAGTAGCTTCTAACGATTCTTCTCTTTTTATATATTTATCCATCTTGTATAAAGTTCTTATTGGTTTCCAATTAATTTGAGAGTCAAAATCTCTCATATGAAGAAATATGGCATTGTTTGTGTTTCCATATTTAATCTTTTTTCTTTTTTTTATGTGCAGGAACTCTCTTGTCAAATACTTAAATTGATAAATGTTAAAGATTTTGAAGGAAACAACTTAACATATATTTTATAAATGTAAGTTTAGTACAGTATAAATTTCTGAACTTCTTAATCTTTAAGTTTATATAGACATGATCGAGACATTTATCAATCAGCTCAAAGTTACTCAGCTTGTGGTAAGAAACCTTTGAATAGGTTGTGTGAAATATTAAATAAACTATAGTTATGCATTTAAAAAAAGGAATAATGAGTTTCATCAAACTAGCAGTCAGTTTTGCTTTCAGAACATTCTGATAATACTTATGATTTTTTTAGTCTGTACATAACTTAGAAAATTAGAATTAGAAAGCTCTTAAAATAGGCAAATTTCTGATAACTTATTTGTATTAAACTGTGAGTTAATAATTAAATACTTATAAATGTGTGTGAACTAGTTGTTGCTTGAAATAAAATACTTCTATAGCAAGATATAAAGTTTTCAAGAATGACTAATAATGAATAATTTATTATGACAAGTTAAGATTTAACGTGGAAGCAGACTTCATATTTAATCACATATTTTCAACCATTATAATACCAAAGTACTTTGATTGGAAATGGTGCCAGTTAAATGCAAGAAGTTTGGGTAAGGTAACAATGAATATTTCTAAATCACCTTCTCCACACATTCTTCCATCAGAATCTGTTGGATGCAGGAGCCGCTTCGGATCTCCATACTTATATGCTATTAAAGAAAACCCATAATATCTTATTTTTCACTGATGAGCAGTAAACTGATAGATGAAATATATATACACAGAGCAACATATAATAATATTTGCTAAAAAACTATAATGAATATTTCAATGAATTGGAAACTTGCTTTTATCAGTATCATTTTCAGTCTTCAAACCATGGCACATTAAGATTAATAAACAAAATATAACGTAAAGGGCAGATGTACCAAGAAAAAAAAAAAGACTAAAAAATTCTGAAATAAGGTCTTTTTGAAACATGACTGTCAAAACAAATGATTTAAACTTGTAGTTATTTTTCCCTTAGTTTGAAGCATTCTATTTATTACCTTCTTACAAGATACATTAATGCTAATAATACATTTTTTCTTTACATGTATTTTTGTATATTTTTTTATACTTTACTGACAATGTTTCATTTATATTTTATAACATATTATTAACTAGTCCCACTTATTCTAACTGATTCTCCATTACAGTCAGTTGTACTTTGTTCTTTGCCTTAAGTTAGCCTAAGACTTAAACACTGCAAAATAAATGTATTTAGTAAGAGAGTAGAAAGCATTTTTATCTATTTTTTCCTTCTTTGTTTAATTTTATTAATGAATTCCACTCTTAAAAGAGCACTATCTTTGATTGATGAAATACTTATTGTACCTAGTAACAGTTTAAAGCCATAATGAATGTACTTCATAAACCTAGCCTAGCACAAAAGAAAGACTCCAATGCTTTTTATACCTGCATATAATTCAAATGATCTCCCTTTCAATCTTATTAATCCAAGATTTTTGACATTATCTAAAATTAATATATATCTGTGCATCAAAATTAAGAATTCATCAAATATGTAGAAGCACAAACTTAATGTTGGTTTTACACGGAACACTTCTCAACAAAATAAAAGAATGTATCAGTTATATTGCTCCCACATATAAACTACTTGTAGCACAATACCATTCTTTTCTACATCTGCACATTCATAAGTATTTCCATCAAACTTGGCACTAATGTTAAACTTTTGACAAAAGGAACTTCATATATTTTCATAAATTTCTATAAAACAAAGACTTAGACACAGGACAGTCATTCATTACAAACCTGGCACTGCAGTAAACATAAAATTTTCAATTAGCTCAAAAGATATTACAGAATATCCACAATGTGAACTGATGAATTGGGTGACAATTTCAACATATGACTTTCTACTCTATAAAAAACACCAATGTATCGTTATAAGTAAGTACAGTAAAGTATTGATGATCAGATAAATTTTTTTATTATTAGTAGCCTATACAGTCATCTAAGTCTAATTATTAATTAGTTATTTTACTATTACTAGATATTATTACTAACTAGTTTATATTCTATGTTTCAGCTGCCATATTCAGAAAACTCCTCAGAGGGACTGGTCATGTAGCAGACATAATTAAAGTTGTGGTCTTCTTAATAGAAAGGTGGCTACAATATCCATTCATACAGAGTCTAACACTTGAAACAATTAACCATATGAATGCTTTTAAGAAAAGTAATCATGTTTAACAAACATCTTTTCTAAGTGGACATAGAGGCTTCTTTTACAATTTTTTTTTCCTCATGCATGCTTTATATTTGATATTCTCTGCCATAATTGACTATTGTAGATAGATCAATATTAAACTAAATTGTATATAGCTATTGTGCGTCTGAAATTTAACTTTTCTTGTTCTATTTGCTTGTCCAACGAATTGAAGACTACAATTACAAAGAATGTTGTAAATGGTGTTTTTGTTCTCTATTGGGACTTCAAGTGGTTTGGTGTATATTAACTGTTTATTAAGCAGATTATAGAGAAGTGTTTTTTTTTAACTTCTCAACTTCCTTGGTATTACAAACATTGTTCATTCTGTAAACTAGGCAGTCTATGACACCCACCTTTACACTGTTGGAGTGGTTTAAATTAGTTACAATTATTAGTATTTATGGTTTTTCTGTAAACTCCTCTGGTATAAGAGAATTATGCATCTTGGTAGCCATAATGTTAGAAATTTATTATCTTCTTCTAATTGTGAATTGTATATCTGTATGTTGTCTGTGTGAGCAATTTGTAAATTCTGGAATCTTGGTTATTGTATGTGGCCATATTACAAATGTACTTTCAACATCCTGTCTAAGGGAGGCTGTTTTGAAATGTTTCATACAGAGGTTCCAAGCTTGTGATAAAAGTGATCCTTCTTGTTGTTGGTAGTATTTATGTTTAAAGAAAGTTATGTTGATAGATGTGGTCTTTTGTAGAACTGAAAATTATTGACATGCTACTTTTAACACCCCACCATTGTTTATTTCATTGGTTTGCTTTGAAATTTAATTTTTCTGCTGGCAACATGCTATTTTTAACACCCCACTATTGTTTATTTCGTTGGTTTGCTAGAAAAGCTTAACACAAGCTCAACATATTGTATATGTTTGGAAAGCTCTGTCCATCATCTACCATTTAGAAATTAGTTTGTCCCCAAAGAAGAAAGGTCCACCTTTTGAAAGTGCTCGGGTTATAGGGTTTTTATTCATTTCTATCAAGACTTTTTCTAACATCATGAATTTAGAAATTATTATATGTTTGTATAAGGTATGTACTCAGAAAAATTTGCCCCGGGACACTGGCAACATCAAATTGGACACTTGGGAAAGCCTGGCCCAAAAGTTCAACATAAATGTTTCATAATTCCATATCTTGAATGAAACTTCTGCTTGTTTGACTTATCTGATACTGTCCAAAAATACAGAAAAATTAAATTTCAAAGTAGTAACACAAACACATAAATTGTAAGTATGACTCAAGCCTTTACTGTGATTAATTAGTAAACATTTATGTTTTGAAAATTTGTTATTAGCTGATTGTGCCATTACTTTTTCACGTATAAAAATATCCAAAATAACGTATTGTCGTTATCATGTGTTCTCCTTTACGGTTGTTTATTTTCAAAACAATAATTACAAACTTTTGAGTAAATAACTAGATTAGACTCTAAAATCAATCCAGGAAGTATATAACACAGGGTATCAAGATATGTTTTGGGTATGTCCATTTGGAGCTTGTAATAAAATTAGTTTTTTAAGCACATGATCTCCTTTACACATATATCTAGTGTAGATACTCAAATTACATCATTTCGTTATATCATTATACATAACAGCCAAGACATTTGTTGTTATAAATAACTGAAAGGATAAGAGTAAATTGTATTCTTCAATAAAAATCACTGAACATGAAATTGCGTGAACTCCTTTATGTGTTCTTCTTTAATTCAGTTTTGCTTCAGAGGGGAATATATAGAGTGCATAATGCTTTTTCTACTATATTTAGTTTCCAACATGTGCAGATTATTAAGGTAGGGTGGATTTGAAATATATTAGTCACAAATGAACTCATTTGCAAGAAAAGTCCTTTAAAGCGAGATCACATAACAGGTGTGTATCTCTTTAACTGTATAATTAACATTCAAATAGTGTGAGTGGTGGTAGTTTTAGGTTTAAGTGACTGATAAATTACAAAGCTAAGTCTGTGAACAATAACTAGGGGTCTATTTATAAAAACAGATAATTGGGGACATGATGAAATGCATATAAAGGAGTTCACAGAATGGGTAAAGGAGATCACCATTTTAATTCAACTCCTTATATATGCTTTGCATTTCTTAGTATAATGCCACATTATAATAAAAGCTTACATTTATGATCTGTGGAAGAAGTCTAATACAAGATAATTAGGCTTAAGTAGCCTGCTATAGCTGGATTTACTGTAAAAATGTAAAGGAGATCACATTAATTTCTAAACTTATCTTTGCTAATATACAGAGGTGGAATGCATTTCGATGATGGGTTTCATATTTTTATTTTTAGAATGGATGGTAAACAAAGTCGGCAGCTGAAATATTATCGCAGAAAAAAAGGCAGCAGAAGAGAAAACCTTCTTACAATTTGTTTGCTTTTTGATTTTTTTTCAAAAATATAACTACTGAAAAACCTTGTGCCAAAACTTTAGCGCTCGGGCTACGTTGTGTCATATTTTTCAACCTTGATGAAGATGACTACTGTTTTCCACATGTGTTCTACTTTACCAGATTATATTGTACTAAGAATAGCCATAGTGGTAATGTTACACAACATGTGTCAGAATATGTCTTTGTACCTATTTCAATATATTTTCATACAAAAAAGCATAGTATGAAGATGCTTTTTTCTGATAATAAGACCAAAACCTAGATAACACTATGTAAAGGGTATATGCTACCTTAACTTGTTTAAAGTTACCTTTGTTCTTTTGTCATTTTCAAAGTTGGTAATATCTGTTACTATCCATGGAGAACGTTTCTTACAGCAATCTTGTCTCAGGAAGCAGTGCCCTTCAATAGTTGTACAGGTAATAATTTGAGGTTACAGCTCCACCTGTGTGGAATGAGAATGACCAGTCATGTGGTAGTGCATGTTAAGCTGGGTAAATGTGAGGTGTCTTTGAGGATAGAAACCTTGCATTTAGTTAATATGTTTCTAGTCTTAACTTGGTTTTCATCATGTGATCAATGAGAGAAAACTAAATGAAAAATTGACTGTCCATTGTTCCATTAGCAAGTACACACATTGATTTTTGTCTTAAATGCTTAGTGATGATTGTTGTCATTATGTTTTACACATTGTGTCGAGTTTTGTTATTCCTTAGCTTAAACTCAGACAGTAAAAGGGCCAGGCTTTCTTAAGTGTCCATTTATCAACTGGAAAATGTTGAAAAAAAATCTTCTCCTATAAGGATGATTTATACAGTTAATTTGCATATTATAGAAATAAAGAAATGTCTTATGATCCTGATAACTTCTATGAACATGACTGAAAGCTCCTGAAAATGGGTTCAGACTTTGGTGGAATGTAAAGAATTAGTCTGAACTAAGAAAAACTCTGAAAGTAAAGGAGTTAAGGATTCAAAATATTCAAATAATTTATTGTGACATTTTTTGACTTTTAAAGAGTATATACTACCTTAAAGGTTTTCTTGACCAAGTGTTAAGTGAAAACCTGCATATATTCACAATAAATAATACATTTAGAATAAATAAATACTGATATTAAAGAAAGGAAGAAATCTTTGGTATATTCCTACACCACAAATCCTTGTGACTTGAGTTCTATCATTTTCCAACTGTTTGCAGCTTTTCTTTATAGTGTTTCAAGGGAGGATACACAAATAAGTAGATGGAATACATCAAATTTGGTAATTGTGTCTTGTGTAGTTTTGAGGTTGTTGGCTGTTGTTTTTTTTTAGTTTCTCTACAAAATGAACTGGGTGTCACCATGTAAGAATGTTTTACTTGTTAACACTGATATTATATCTACCAAATATCTAACTAACATAGCGAGTCTCTGCTGTTAACTATGAGACAAAGAGGGTAGCCCATTTATGAATTTTAGGGTAACCATAGATGTGTGGGATGGTTCTGTTGTGTACTGTTACTTGTTTCACTGCTTCTGTTCCAAGTTGTTTTTGATACTTCTTGAGAATTCGACTTTTTTTTTCTCGGCGTTAGCATTTGATCTTCATATAGTGGTAGCGGTCATCTTCAACTAGAGTTTAGAATTTGATGATATATTCCTTTTATTCACTATTACAATGGTATTTCCTTTGTTTGGTGGTATAAGATGTTATCTTCCTTCATTTTTTTAAAGCAGCTTTATTTTCTCTGGTAAGGTGGTATGATCTAAGTTTTATGTCTTTTCTGGACTGCCGACTTTATTTGGGTTCTGAATACTTTAATTCTTCTTCTGGCAGGCTGCAAGTTGTGTCTTGTGGTTGTAGCTACATATAGGATGAGTATTTTAATAGGTATTAGAGTAACTTCAGTCCTTTACTTAGTACACTTTCTTCAGTTACTTAAACTCATTATTATGCATTTAGTTAAAAGGTTTCTTGCCTTTGAGAATGGATGAGAGAATCCAGTTTCTTGTGTGAATCTCCATGTGAGCATGTGTGAAGCTTGAATAGCTTTATGTACCATTATAGAGTCTATGTTGTTGTCTGGTATATTATCTATCTCCTGATATAGGCCATTCATCTTGTTCTTTGTTATGTTGATTTATACAGATATTTAATCCTGTCTTCTGGCATGGTTTTATTAAGTTTCTGAGTTAGTCTCTTATAACATGATAGGTAATTTGACCATAAGTTCTTTAGGAATTATGTTATGTTGTTTAAAATTATGGCTAATTTACAGTAAGTAAGAAATAATTAGACATAGGTAATCATATACTCTACTAACCATGGCAACCTAGTTGTTAATTATAATAATCATGATATGCATTCTCATATACAAAACTACAATTTACTAGTTTAAGAAGATTCATCCAAGCAAAACAAATATCCTTTGCAAAATGAAGGTAAACAGTAATTAACAACTACATTTTTTGTCTCGTGTATAAAATGCACTTACCAAAACTTGCAACCACAACCCAGCCAGCAATGAATGTAAGAAACAAAAGAAGACACAAAATATCAGTGCAGCTCCTGAAAAAAGAAATGATTTCACTGATACAGCTTGTCCTTAATTTGTTTGATTTATTACAGTATATGTATCCAGAGGGGGAAGAGCAATAGGACACACACGCACACACACACACACACCACACTAGTCATCAAGGGGCCCCCAGATTCTAGTCAACATCCCACAAAAAAGAAATTTAGAGCTATCCAATGTTAAGCAGTGGAAAATGTGGATGTATATTCCCACCTATGTCTGCTAAGTTACTTCACTAACTGAAAAGGTACACATAATGTCTAAAATATCACTGCATCCTTGAGCCCAAAATACCACCCCCCTCAACAATGAGACCCTAGAATTGTTCCTGCATGTAACACAGAAATCTTAATCTGGCATCTTTACAGGGTCATATTTTATATCATATATTAACTTACATTTGTGAAAAAATATATATATCACACCTGCAATGCATACTTAATGCTTTTAGTTCATATACAATGCCTTGCAAAAATATTCACCCTCTGCAAAGTTTCCACATTTTGTTGCAATCATGAAACTTTCAAATGGGACTTTATACTTAAGAATCTACACAATCTACTCCAAACTGAGACAGCTAAAAAAATGTTGATATTATAAAATTAAGGTAGATTTTGAAAGAAAATTAGAATATTCTCAATTGCATAAGCATTCAACCCCTTTGCTACGGCAACCCTAAATCAGTACAGGTGCAAAAAATTAGTTTGAAAGGTCACAAAATTAGTGTAATGGTTTCTGTCTGTATGTAATCAAAGTGGTTTAACTTGACCTCAGAGTAAATCCATCTGTTAAAGCCATGATTCATATAGTGATATGAAAAACCAACCATGAAGACCAAGGAGTTTCCAAACAAGTCAGGAATAAAGTGGTAGAGAAGCATAGATTAGAAGGTTACAAGAAAATTTCAAAGTTGCTGATTATCCCTTTGAGTACAGTAAAGTCCATCATTAAAAAATGGAATGTGCTTCATACCACCCAGTCACTACCCAGATCAGGCTGCCTTCCAAACTAGGCAGCTGGGCAAGCAGGAAACTCGTTAGGGATACCACCATAAACCCAAAAGTGACTTTGAAAGATTTGAAAAGTTCCATGTCTGAGATGGAAAACAGTGTTCATACATCAACAATATCCCAGTCACTACAGAAATCTGGCCTATATTGGTGAATGGCAAAAAAAGAAGCCATTAATGAAAGAGAATCATCTTAAATCTCATATGGAGTTTGCAAAAAAGCATTTAAATGATACTGCATACATGTGGCAGAAGGTTTTATGGTCAGATGAGACAAAAATTGAGCTTATTGGTCTAAATTTAAAGTGTTACGTCTGGCACAAGCTCAACACAGTACATCACTCAGTCAACACCATCCCAACTGAGAAGCATGGTGTAGTAGCATCATATCATGGAGATGCTTCTTATCAGAAAGGACTGGGAAGCTAGTCAGGATTGAGAGGAAGATGGATGGTGCAAAATACAGGCAAATCCTAGAGGAAAACCTGCTTTAGTCAGCCAAGAATCTAAAATTGGGTCAAAAATTCACATTTCAGCAGGACAATGACCCAAAGCACAAAGACAAAGTTACAAGTGGTTTCAAAAGAAGAACGTGAATGTCTTGGAGGGCCCAATCAAAGTCTTGACTTCAATCCAATAGAAAATTTATGGCAAAATTTGAAGATTGTAGTCCATCAGTGATCCCCAATGAACTTGTCAGAATTGGAGCAATTTTGCTATGATGAATGGGCAGAAATTACATCATCCCAATGTGCAAAGCTGATAGAGACCTATCCAAAAAAGACTCATAGTTGTAATTGCTGCAAAAGATACTTTCACCATGTGCTGATTTAGAGAGCTCAATACTTATGCAATCAGCAAATTTCAATTTATATATTGTCTTTGCAGGTTTTGCTAACATTCAACCTTCTTCACACATAACAGTGTTAAGTTTGATCATTAGAGTTTTGAATAAAAACAAGTTCATTAAAAACAATTGTTTACATTATTTGTCTTTCATCAAAATGGGACATTATTGATAGTGGGTGAATACTTTTGTAAGGCACTGTACTATACAGTACTGAACTGTTACCATGAAAATATATTGGCTACATATACAGCATTAACAAATTATACTGAATAACTGTTTTATTATCAGTAGTGAAACATACAAAATTTTTTGAAACAATCAATAAACTTTTAATCAAAAACAAAGATGGTATATATGCTTTAAAATCAGCTAACAATCTGCATTTTGTTACTACACAGAAGGAATCCCTTTCATATAAATCATTTTATAAAGATGAAAATATGTTTGTAGTTTCTTTATGTTTTAACAATTTTTTTTTTTTATTCTTGTAAACTCCCGGTGGAGCATAGGGCCATAACAACACCTCACCAACGCTAGCCCCGCGCCCAACCCTCCTCCTTTCTCATCCTGGACTTGGGACCAGGCAATGGCGGAGGTTGACATGTTTGGTGTGACGGGGATTCGAACCTGCAACCCTCAGATTACGAGTTGAGCGCCCTAACCACATGTTTTAACAATACACAAACCTTACTGTTTTTCTCAATAAATCTGTTGCTCAAAAGACTTTCCTTTATACACAGTTCATGTTCACTGTTGATCTTTGAAAGGATTTTAATTTGTCCTTTACTCATAGTAATGGATCCAAGGTAATGCAAAAAAACAATTACGTCATTTATGTTTATATACCATATTAGAAGTTTCGATTGTAATGACTCAAAAAATACTGTATCCTGCATGCAGACTTAAAAACATATTGCAGCTCAATATGAGGGTATGCACAATGACATAACTTACATTTTTAATCATAATAGCCTGTTTCCCTGTATGTGGCTTTGAATAAATGTAATGTACCTACAAGTAAAGTACAATTCAAAATATTTGCCAAGGTCAACAGTGAATAGGAACTGCATATAAAGGAAATCTTTTGACTAATAGACTCAATTCAAGATTGAATATACAAAACAATGCAATTCATTAACTGTTGAATCTCCAAGTGTTAAAATATGTTAACTTATTTATGTTTTATTTACAACAATATCAAACAGATAATGTATCTTTGGGAACATTTTCCTACAAGAAAACAATGTGTGAAATATTAAGGTAAATACATCATTCAAACAAATGAAAATAGAGTTAAAGCTCTAAAAAAAGGTTAAAAGTTTCAAACTATGGTTAAACAGATCTTTAGCTAACATGTCTAACTAAGGCTCTCACTTTAACATTAACTTTCCACTATACATGTACTTATTACACTAGTTCCCTGAAGCTTAGATCAATGAAAACTACAGTTCATTTGAAGCAACATGAAAAAGTTTTGAAATGCTCTCTTGCAATGTCATGGATTATTTTTGGGTCACTGACCACTATTATACATAAGGATCAAGTGTTGGAAAGTAGGAGTGGTGTTTAAAAAGTTCTTAATTGTTGACTGTTTAATCTCTTCAGATTTAAGTTTTAATGTTCAGTCACCAGAACTCACATATTTCCCAACCTCCTAACTACTAGTTCTTCCTAAGAATTGTAACAAATACGAGTGGAAACTTGCACCCAAACCAAAAAATCAACCTAAAGTCTCCAAATGATCTAGGCACCAAAGTATTAAAAATATCTTTAATCACACTTTACAACAGCAATTAGAACAAATCTGGCAAAGTCCACACGATCACATACAATACTTATGAATCTGTATGACACATGCACTGATCAATTACTTCCTTCTACAATCACAATTTCCAATACTTGACATTTATAAAAATAAATATATTAATCAATAAGAACTATTACTGTTCTTTAATTGAAACTTTCAACTTTAAAAGCCATGCTGAGTGAAGCAATTCCTAGTAATTCATTACTACCAACAAGTGATGAACCAAAAATGTAAAATAATAATAATAATAGTATTTTCAGCTTTAAAGGAACTCTTTGACTTGTAATATAAATGTAATTATGAAGGATTAATAGTTTTTTATTTAAGTTATTCAGAGAATATGCAGTCTTATGTGGTATTAACATATTTTATGAATCAAAGACTGGTGAAACACAATCTCTTTGGTTCTACTTCTAGAGAGAAAATTTTATATATTTATATCATTATTGTATAGCAATATGTTATCCATAACTTTGCTATTCTAAATATCTTGTTCAAATCAGTCTAACTTACCAGTCTGTATATTCTGTCAATATATTTATAAATATTTATACCTGATTAATCAATTTGTAAGATTACCATATTCCATTGTTTTAGTTCAGTTTCACAAAATCTTACAACAAGAGTATTTCAAAAATGTAGGAATTTCTAAATCCCACCTGTTTTTAATTGGTCCTTTAATCCTTGGATCATGCTCCAACAGTTCACCTTTGGATGAAGAGAAAAAAAATTATAAAAATTAAACTGTATAAAAAGATTTGAACAAGTATCTACCTTGATAGAGGTACTTCCTTGATTTTTTCTCTATTAAATCTTGAAAGGAAATGTTTTACTAAAATGTAATTGAAGAAATGAAGCTTACCTCATAAAATATAATGAAAGAATGCAATACATACATATAAACTTAGTCCTCTTACTGGGAATTTTTAAAAGTTATATGATATATAATCATGACATAACATTTAGACTTAATGAAATGCACACACACACACACATTTGTTTTTAAAAAAAATGAAATTCTGAATTTTTGTTTGGGGCTAATTCCTTAATAAAAAAATAAAAACCTAAAAGCTAGGCTTAGATTACTTACTAAAAAACATCCTTCAGTGCGTACTATCTAACAGTTCATATCCACTCCGAAGATTGCCAATAAGAATACTACTGATTTTTGAAGTGATGTACTTTAAAATCTTAGCCACAATGAACAAAAAAAAGCTAGAGAACAGCAGAAAAAACCTATTCCACTTGATAATGATTGCTCTTGCAATTCTACCATGTTAGTGTTACTAACTACAAAATAACAAAAAAGTACTTCACATAAGTGAAATAATTAACATTAAATATTTCCTTTCTCTCTATTACTGAAAGGGTTGTGTTCAATATGCTTCTACACATACATCTAGTAGATGAATCACAAAGAAGTCTTTAATAATATCAGGTTTCTTTTCCAGATTAAAAACACTTAACACACTGTATATCAAATACCCAATCAGCTACACGTGTCTCAAGTTTTCATTGGTGATGTTAATTCTGAAATGATTTGAACATTAATATGTGCTAATAAGTACAGTACCGCATTTTCTTACATTTTTGAGTATGACTATGGATGATCTGTACTGTTGTAGCTCTGAAGGCACAAAACTTGCATTGATACAAGATGAATTTTTATTTCGCTAAAGCTTGTGTATTTTCCTATTCAATATTTTATGTAAACAAATCACTCATAACAACTTGTATTACAACTTACAAGTGGATTCTCCAAAGATCGAGTATGTAGGGATTACCGATCAGATTGTTGATTTATGTCATAAGACCTGCGAGTGGGAAAGTACGTACTAATACATCTTAGTCGGTTTTTAGGTATGGTTTGAGCCTTGAGCAATTTGGGGTAGGGTATTTAACCTCTTCGGGATTCGTTGGATCAATCACCGGAATTTAGGTGTTTTGCGACCTGGGTGAGTCAGGTTCTAATAAACCTCTTCCTCCCTCTTCAGAATTATTCGAGTATGGAAGCCATTTCAATTTTACCGCCTAAATGTGGGTTCAGCAAACTGGGAAGGTTGGTACACTGTTACAAAATTATTTTTAACAGTTTGTCGCTAGTTTTATTTCTTGAAAGCTTTCATGAATCAACGACAATTGGAAACCGTTTCTACAATGTATGAAAGCAACACTAAAATAAATATGCAAGTTGGAGCAGTTTTCAAATAAAAATTATTTTCATTTACTCAAACATAATATCGTCTTAAAAAAATGAAAAGAAAACTATAATGTGGAAACATGATCTTAACCATCGCCGACCCTTTTAGAATACTCACAATCTTCTAAGTTCTAGATCTAAGATAATCAGTCAACTTGTCGACAACAACTTATATGCTGATGATTTTGCACATCTAAAAAGAGTAACCCCAGTAAGAAAAAAAGAAAACCAGTAAAAAAAAATATTAACCTATCAGCCTTAGTGATATGTATCTTCCTCGTACGCTTCTTCGCATTTTATATATAGACGACGGCTCTGTGTGCTTTCTCATATTTCCTTTACCAATAGAACGTTTGTTCATTTAAGATATTCGGACCAAGCTACATAATAGCCATCTACACTGGCGTCTCTAATTTTGAACTTAAAAACTAGGGTGAATGCAGCTTTATGTGTGTTCTGCTCACCACGGGGATCAAAACCCGGTTTCGAACGTTTTAAGTCAGCAGACATAACGCTGTGCCATTGAGGGGCACTGTATAAGTGTATAGTCACTGTATAAGAATGATGGTCAAATTACACTAGTCGATTAGAGTAGCCACAGTCCATTCTATAGCTTTGGCTTAACTACAATCAATCTAACAAATCTAAGGAAAATTTATCACTGCTCATACACCATGTTAACCATGTCGGTGGATTAAAGGGGGGAGGTTGATAAAATATGTAATTTATACTTTTTTAATGAAATCTGGCAACAATTTTAAGCAGTTTTGAGTCACCAAGAATCTATCATTTTTATCCACTATTGAGCTCTACAAAATCTTCCAACAGGCACAGCGCTTCAAATTTAAATCCTGCTTTCAAATTCGGAAACAAACACAACTTCCGAAAGTCCTATATCGTTCAAGATTCAAATGAAAACATTTAGATATGCTGTGTCTACCGAGGGGAATCGAAACCCTGATTCTAGCGTTGTAAATCCGAAGATTTATCGCTGTCCCACCGGGGGGACAGGTATTAATGCAAAGTAAAATATTAATGTTTTCATAAATAAATGATTAATTTCAAAATTAGTGTCTCTAACTTT